CAAATAAATGGATTAATGTGTGATATCAAGTTTTTTGACTCATTGTCAATAGAGGTAGTGTTCCCTTTCTACTTTTAGTTTTGTTATTCTCCCAATACATTTATCTTGTCTGGGACAACAAAAGATGCATCAATGTTTTTGTCTTTTGTCTATAGAAATGGCTCTTCCATATCAATATTAATCTACTTGAGGGTGTGGGTGTGGGTGTGGATGAGGTGAAGAGACCCTTACCCACACCCACACCCACACTCACACCCACACCCACACCCAGAATATGGCGCGAACTCATCTTGACAATGAAAGTTGAATAGAGTCGTCAATTATCATCAATACTGATGAGCATTATCAATTAGTCAGCATCAGCCAATATTTTGCATCACTTTTCTTCCTCTTTTCTTTATACTTTTCAATTTTATTTAAAAAAAAATGCAGTGAAATTAGACTCTGTCTAGTTGCTCATGGGTATTACCATATGTGCCGATCATTGCTAATAACGTATCATTGTCGTCAGAACGTCAAAGTCACGCATTTGTATGATTCTTATGCATTCATTTACGTCAAATGTGCTAGTTTTTACAGTATTTCTCTGATGAAATGAGAGGATTTTCGAAGTTCGAAACGTATATAGCCTCTCTGATACTATGAGAGTATCATCCGATATGAATATATTCTGTAGGGTATGGAAATATCTATCAAATATTGTCTTCATATCATCTCGGCAATTGACATTATCAAATGGATTTAATAATAAGTGTGTTCGATCATGATCATCGAATGATAAACAAGGCGTTAATATAAACTTAACTTCAATAAAGATATTTTCTCGAATTATTGTTTTGGGATTCAAGGTTTTTTGTTTAGAGAATATCGGTACATTTTCTAGCATCATTGATGTAATCAAGATTAATGTTCGTTGAAAACCGTCATGTTTTTTATGTTATCTATTACAAAGTCGTATAGAGTTGGGATTTCTTTGATCATACATCTCAAATCTATGATTAAACTTATTGCGGGTGTATCTGTGTATGTGATGCTGCTGACATAGGTACACTTAAGTCTGACTAAGAATCAATATGGTTCCGGAAGACGCACTCAATCACTCTGCAAATGGTTTGTCGATGTGAATGTCGGCGATGGGTGAATAATATCAATACCTATATCATCTCCATCACATCCCACACCCACTCTCACAGGTTGGCCAACTTGACACTCAGCTTTTTAAACGTTCTGGTTTTTGAGCTATGATATATAAACATAGTAAGCGTCAAAGCGAACAAAAAGGGGGCCAAATTAAAATTGTATGCTGGGTAGAGCATAGGTGGTTTTACCGTGGACCTACTCTTAAACTACTTGTACAATATTTGAGTTACAAATAAGGGAAGAAAAAAAAAGTGTATATTCACATATAAACATACCCGTATATCGAAATCAAGATAGTAATATAGACATAGTTAAGGTGTTTGCTACACGTTACTTTATCAATAAAGTGTGAGATAAAAGGACAACGGTCTCTTACCAAGCTACATTAATTTTTTTATTCTACTAATAATAGAAGATGATATTCTCAACATTGATATACCTGACATTTTTCATCGGAGTTTCTTATGAACTGAATAATGGATTGGGTAGAACACCTCAAATGGGTAAGACACTAAAATTGTATGCATCTGTTGCTATTATTCATTCATTCAAGGCTGGAACAGTTGGAATCATTTTAAACATAATATTAGTGAAAAAATAGTCCAACAAACTACAGATGCTATTGTAGCTACAGGTCTCGCAGCCGCTGGATATCAATATGGTTTGTTCTTTTCTTATTTATATGTACAAAATATTTTCCATTTTCAATAGTGAATCTGGATGATTGTTGGCAATTGACCCGAGATAGTCAAGGTGTTATTCATCCTGATCCTGAAGCTTTTCCAAGTGGAATACCAGTTCTTTCTGATTATGTCCATTCAAGAAATCTTAAGTTTGGTCTTTATTCAGGTACGATGACCACATGTATTTATTAGGTTAATTCATTTATTAATAACTACATTAGATGCTGGATTTAAGACATGTGCTAAACGACCTGGTTCACTTGGTTATGAAACAATAGATGCTAACACATATGCATCTTGGAATGTTGATTATTTAAAATATGACAATTGTAATACAGATGGAACTATTCCTGAAGTTCGATATCCAATTATGCGAGATGCTTTAAATGCTAGTGGACGACCTATCTTCTTTTCTATGTGCGGTATGTTCCTTATTGAGAAATTCATCGCTGTTTGTTATCGTATACCATATACATAGAATGGGGTGTTGACACACCAGCATTATGGGCAGTTAATGTTGGAAATAGTTGGCGCACAACAGGAGATATTCGAGATAATTGGGATTATATGATGTTTAATATTGATATTGTAAGATAATATTGGCATTTATACATTAGAATATTTTTTCCATTTTTAGAACAATGACTTTGCTGATAAAGCTGGTCCTGGTGGATGGAATGATCCTGATAGTAAGTAAAAGTTTCATATGATATAATTAACATCATTTGTTTTATACTTATTTAGTGCTTGAAATAGGAAACGGTGGTATGACTGATGCTGAATATTCTACACACTTTTCTCTTTGGGCTATTAGCAAAGCACCCTTACTTATTGGATGTGATGTAACTAATATGAGTGCAGCTACTTTATCTACTTTAACTAATCCTGAAGTAATTGCTGTTAATCAAGATTCATTAGGTGTACAAGGAAAAAAAGTTGCTTTTGCGTCGTCACAATTCCCCAATGCATCAACTGAGATAGTTGTTACAAATTGTTCAACATCATCAAAAATAGAACCAAAACGTCTGCAATGGACATACAATTCTCAAGATGGAACAATTCGATCATCTCTCAATGGAAAATGTTTATCCATTAATAATTGTAGTATAGATGAAGGAGCTGCTATTGTATTAAATGAGTGTCATTTTAATGATTCACAAGCACAATGTCAAGGGAAAAACCAACAATGGATAGTTAGAACATCTGATCAAACTGTTATTTCACAAATGAATGGAAAATGGTAAGTTCATCTATCATTGAGAAATACATACATGAAACTGAAATTCACTAGTTTGAATGACAATCTTAAGCATGGACCAAATGTTGATGCATATACATGTGATAAACAGGATCATCAACAATGGTTATGGAATGCTACAGACGGAACAGTACGAACTAAACATGACGGTCAATGTTTAACTGTTTTACAAGAACTTGAGGTTTGGGCTGGTCCACTTTCAGATCATTCGCAAGCTGTTGTTTTACTTAATCGAGGTAATAGTGGAAGTGAATCAATCACTGTCAAATGGACTGATATTGGATTTTCAAATGATCAAGCAGCAATTGTTCGTGATTTATGGGCCCGAAAAGATCTTGGAATATTTACAGGCAGTTTTACATCGCCTAATATTAATTATCATTCAGTCATCATGCTGAAAATTATTCCGACCCGCAAACAAATAGTAGAAAATTACAATTGATAAATATGCCTTTGTCAACGATAGAGTGAAACATTTTATATCCTATTTATGTACTTTTATAAAAGATTTTATCGTTTAAAATCAAATAAGGTAGATAATTAGACGAGATACCAATACATTGTGTGCCATATAGTCACGATTTAGAATCCATTTGATAGACATTTGTGAAAAGTTTAACAATTATATGTAGATATTTTATCTTACTATTATGAAAAAATCCGATTCACAATTATCTATTGCCTTCTTACATTCAATTATAGATGAATTCAAATAGGATTATAATCAATTTCAACTTATTTTTTGAATCATTATTGGTCTATGTCAATCTTTTTTTCATTAATGTGCACAACATAGATTTTCATTCCAAAATCAATCACTGTTCAATTTTTTCTGATAAAACATGATTCTGTCAGCTGTAAGCATAAACTGAAATGAGTTATATGCAAGTTTATCAATGAGAGTGCACGTATAAGCGCGCGTATGGACAGGGATGCAACAACCGGTCCAACCGGTTCCATTCGGAAGCGGGTGGGGGTGTAGGGTGAGTGTGGATGTGGGTGTGGATTGGTGTGGGTGTGGGTGTGGATTGGTGTGGGTGTGGGTCTGGCTGTGGATGGGTGTGGATGTGGTTGGAGGTATGGATTTGGATGGGTGTGGGTGTGGGTGTATGCGAGCTCTTTCCTTGAATGCAGACGAATACCAATACATACTAACACCCATGGCTAAACCGACACTCATCCACCCACACCCATACTCACCCACCCACACCCACCCACACCCACACCCAGTCACCCACCCTTTAATTGAATTTTCATCTCAAATATACATGATGCATAAAATTCTACTTTATTTCTTAAAGACTTCTCTTTTTGCTCTTTAAGTAAAACAAAGTTCATTAGAAATCAAAGTTTTCGTTTTAATATCAACAACTTAGTAATAAATATAGGATATAATTAAATAATCAAGAATAGTTCTAAAATAATTCTCGATCTTTATACTCTTACAGAACTATTTTCAATACTGGTCGCATATCTGCTCATCAATATGAATACTAACAAAATGTCTGAAACAGGCATAGATCTAGAGATGCATTAATCTCTACAATATAGTATTAAAGATGATATTTTTTCTGATGAAGAATGCCATGTTTTGCCAACGTCGAAATTACAAAGAAGTACTAGAGTAGTAGCGCTGTTTCTCTCTTGCCTCTAGATTTGAATTCTAAAATGCAACTGATACAAAAAATTAATAACAGATCGATAACTCAAAATGTTGAACGTAGCGAAAAATCTGATTAGAAATTCAAAGGTATTAACAGGTATGGATTTAATCCTGTTTGTAGAAAGTGCATGTATTGCAATGAGAGTTATGAATATTTTATCGATTTTTCGTATGAATTGTGTTGAGTTTTGAACGCTCTTTGCAAATATATTCTGAAATTTTGACAAAATCAAAAACGATAAGTCTGAAATTGAGTAGGAGTTGACATATATTGATAGACAAAAAAAACTTGAAAATTTGAATTCTCAGTCAAGTTTTGAAATTTTGTTCAATATTACATGAATTGGGATTGCAGTTTCAGATAAAGTGAATAAAGCTAGTTTTAGATGTCATGCAAACTCGACTAACAATGACATTTTTCATTAAGACAAAATTTTATCTTTGATACTATCTTTTAAGAATTGGTTCATTCCTAATCATATATTAATGAAACAAATTGTAAACTAACACGTAAAATATATTTCATCACAAGTAAACATCGTAGAATAAATCATAAATAAAAAAAATATTAGATGTCAATCTTATCTAATTCGTATTAAAGATTCTAACATATAAAAATGAGTACTATTTACTATAAATCATAAATGAATCAAGAGGACCAATGAAGATCTATATAACGATGTGGTTTTTCTATCATAGCAGATACTTTAGATTCTTGAAAATTTTTAATCTTTTTCTTTTTCTTTAATGATATTGAGACGACTATAGATTTCGCATCCAGCACAAGTTATAAAAATAATCTTTAGATGAAATATCTCATGTAAATCTAATCATAAACTATTTTATGACCTGCAGGAAACATAACTTTTCTTAATTACTCTACTACAGACGACACATTAGATGAATCGCATCCGATTCAAACAAATGGTATTAATTGATTGATTCATATTTCAAAGGCAGTAGATATCTATATTAATACATAGAAGAGTTCTGAACCTCAAGCGAATGAAGCATTCTTTTGCTTTGACAAAAGGAAATATACGATGATTTGTAATTTCCTTCGATTAACTTAGATTAAAAATTCTGAATTACATGTAGAATTTTATTGTACGTCCAATGATAATTTTTTTTCATGTAGTTAATTTTATGATAATGAAAAAAATTTGATGAGCAAAATAGAGGAAACAAATCCTTACTAAAATGCTCAACAATATTCTCAAATACAAGTTTGACTCCTTGTTGATAAAATCAAAAACATGTCCATCCAATCGAAAGACTGATCGTACCTTAAATGAACGAGTCTTCCTTAAAAGTTGGTGTTAATGAAATGTATTAACGCTTGACAACCCACAGGAAGGTTAAATTTTACAATGATCGTCATGGAAATCTTTACATGACTGTTTATTTTTTATTTGTCCCATATATAATAAAAAGCAACTTCATTCCATTTAATATATGACTCTTACAGTCAAAGGAACACACTTTCTAGTAGATAATACTCTTGCAAGGAGAAAAAAGTCAACAAAGAAACATTTTTATGCTATCTTTTCATCTAACTTTGTTTTTTTAGAGAGCTTATTTAGCATATGGATGGTTCTCAATTGATTAACAAATACATGATATGTGAGATTGTTAGATTTGAATGGTGAGAATAAGTTATTCAACGACATAAAGTTTTGAGAATATAACAATTAGTTGAAGTTAGCAATTATAATCATGACATATTGTTGTCGTATTCGAACCTCATTTACATCTCGTTTATTCCTTAATAGAATATTTGGATGTTGTCGACGTAATGCAGAATGCAACTGTAGTTAATTTTAATTGTTTTACTGAAGAGATATGACCTTTTAACAGAAGAAAAATACCTTGAATATTTAGTACGACTAAGATTCTTTCGTGATAATGAAAACTTCTTCCTGTTTATTTCATACTTGTTTCGTAAAGTTCACAGGTTCTGTCTCCAATGTTAATTGTAGTTTCGCATTGAATGATCTTCACTTTATGAACGTACGACATATGTTACTGACAGAAAATTTTAGAAACAGAATAAACCTGGACATTACTAAATTCTTTGAGTTCTAATCTTCGTTTGCTTAGCATATTTTCATTGTTTAGTTTCATAAATCGAAAATTTTTACCAATATTCGAAATTCAATTCTATCTCTATTATTATTGTTTTCAAAAAGAGGAGTATTTGTGTTTGTATAAGTAATACCCGCGCCAGAATTAAAGAAGGGTTGGTGTAAATTGAATAACTCAACAACGGCAAGAGCTAGTGACCTGCAGTTTTCACCAATCGAAAGAGGAGACCGATGGACGAATTTTATCATGGTATTGTTTCGGACAAAATTGTTTTGAACGCTGCTATTTTTGAAAATCTTTTCTGAGAAAACGTACAGATGGTATGCCAATACAATGAATTTTTATTTGGATATTCTCATTAGATAGAGGGACTTCAGATCTATAGTTCAATATACAACGCGCTTTCTTACTTTTAATCATATTTTCATCGAAATACCAAGCTACTATGATACAAAGTCCGAAAACATAGTAAAAAAATCAGTAAAATTCTCTATCATTTGCGCATGTAAATACATGATTCCATTTGCTCAACGTTAGAATGTAATAAGAGAACCATTTGCATTGTATCTTGAACTATAGATCTGAAGTTCCTCTATCTAATGAGAATATCAAAATGAAAATTCACTGCATTGGCATATCATCTGTACGTCTTCTCAAAAAAGATTTCCAGAAATAACAGTGTCTAAAACAATTTTGTCCGAAACAATATCGTGAAAAAATATGTCCTCCGGTCTCCTCCGTCGATTGGTGAACACCGCAGATCGCTAACTCTTGCTGCTGTTGAGTTATTCAATTTACACCAACTCCTCTTTAATTCTGGCATGGACGTTAGTTGATTGTTCAGGTAAAAGCACATTCGTTGCCGAAAAATAAACCCTAGAACATCAAACGCATAATCAGAAACGGAAGTGTCTTTTCTTTCATTCTCGTTTATTGACACAAAAGTATTAAAATTTTTTTCGGAAAATTCTTTCGCGTATATCCACACAACTCAAAACCGATATGTGTATATGGGGAAAAGATAAGAAGATAATGCTTTCTGTTCATTTGTCGGCTTCTTGGGCGCTGAAAATTTAGTCGCATCTTTCGGCAACAAAATGCCACATTGATAACAAAAGCATCGTTGATGAGGTGCATCATTGACAATATGTCCATACTTTCCCGTAAAAACATCTACCAGAAATTTTGGTTTATGAACTTTGAGACCAGTTGCTACGACGTCGAGGAAATTATTTTGACGACTGCAGTTAGGACAATGCTCACACTTTGTTTTGATCATATACGGAGTTGAGAAAAAGCCTTTTGGTGTTTCAAGTAATTCTTCGATTTTATTCATGTCTTCAGTCGATGTTTCAACCATGATATAGCCATCATTAGAATTAGTCAAAAATTCTTTGACATGTTCATGCCATTGGTTTTCGGGTATTGCCTTCGGAAACATTTGCTTTGCAATGATATCAGCTGGAATAGTTGCGATATCAACAGCTTTTTTCAATACTTCAACAGCAGCAGTGGCCATGGTTTGACTCTGATTAATCGTTCGACAGAAATAACAATGTTTGTAACTTAGTAGAGTATTCGTACAGAAGTATGAAAATGAAGAGAAGGAGTGTGAGGTTTTTATAAGCGAAAGGTCTTATCACATGTTTCTAGATCCTTACTAATCTTTTAGGAAGTATTCTGTTTCTCAAATGTGTCATATAAGTAACTTATATTATTTTCAAATAGAAATAAAAGTGCGCCATATGACTCACTTTATTCTTCTTACTACTCCGTATTCGTCTTCGGTGAAAGAGAGCCTGGAATCATACGCACGCCAAGCGAACGAAACAGAAAAACGAATGTGTCGCACAGCCAATGTTTCCTAGTTAGAAGTGCATTAGGCGAAAAATGGAAGATACACTTTTATTAAAACAGCACGATATTTAGGCATGCACTGAGCCAAAACTTCTCGAATTTGATCACTACCGGGTTCATTGTTAGTCCACGCAATGGCTGAAGCTCAAAGTTAGAATTTGTCCGAACACGTCCTCCTTCATCGTCATTAACAATAAAAACGAAAGACTGCTGATGCATCATCCTTAATCTATCCGATTTCATATTTATTGAAATCAAAATTTAACTTCTTAAAAGTATACTAGAATTGCATTATTAACATTTAAAGGTGTTTTTATCTTTCTACCAAATAGTATTCAAATAATTATTTTATAACACACACTAACGATTTGAAAACATTTCACTTTCTTTTATGCATTTCATCCTTTTCTTCATTAGATACCATTGCTAAAGAACATAACTGCTTCTATAAACACATTTTTCAAAAGAATAATACGTCAACACCAGATTTAATGTTAACTGTATATTTTAGAAGCATAATCATTAACAATAATGCTGACTATAACAAGGGTGTGGGTGCGGGTAAGTGTGGATGTTAGTGTTCTCTTCATCAACACCCACACCCACACACCCACACTCACACCCACACTCACACCCACACCCACATCCACACCCACTCACACCCACACCCACATCCCACACCCACCCACACCCACACCCTTCTGAATTGAGTTTTTCGGGTTGAGGAAAGGGTTTTTTGAGAAAATAATGATATCTTATAAAGGTTGATGAAAGTAAATTAGGGTCGGAGAATTCAAATCTGAAGTCAATTTCTGAAAAGCTTGATTCGTTATTTGTTTGAAAAAAGATCATAATTTTCTCTCTAAATTATTGTCTAAGAAAAAAAACAAATCTCTGGGAAAAAGTCATTTGAAAGAAAAGAAACTCAAAATGTGGGAAACCCTTCTGTATTGTGAAAATTTGTGACTGCTGTTTAGTTGCGGTGCCCCCTTTACAGTATCATTGTAGACGTGGGTCGGAGTATGACCTGTTGGAGTGTGCATGTCAGTAAATCGTAGTGTGGTAAGCCAATGTTTACATACCACTGGGACCCAATCTTAGGTACATGAGATTGAGCGATTCTTGTTTATTCACAATGGTTTCTGAGTTGAATAGCTTTTTCTGCAGACTCTGCTTAGGTCGAAAGGAGTAGGATCAAAAGAATCTCATAAGTGAAGTTACGGCCTGTAGGGTGAATGCAGAATAACCAATGATTGCTTTAATTTGTGCAAATAATGCAGCGAGTGAGTATGAGCAGGACCTGACAGAAGTGGTGACGAACGATTGGCGAATAATATTGCAAACGTATTCTGATATTGTTTAACAAAAGATCTATGTGAAACCTATATGTATCAAGAATAACCAATTAAGATTCCCTCAAATCCGAAACCCTAATAAAACTCTAACGTATTGGTCAAACAATCAGGGTAAAGAAATTAGGAATGAATAAGAGGAAAGTGTCGGTTCGGAACAGCTCACCTGGAGCAATCTCGTTCTAAACTCAACAATTTTTCTAACTAAGAGTAATCTGACATTCGATAGAGTTTAAGTAAAAAGAAACATCTTATGGGAAAAGAAGGTCAGAGGTAGCAGCAGCTAGCCGCAAGTGGCGCCCCCGAGGGGCGCCGACGAGCGACTAGCTGCTGCATTGAATTATCTTCAGAAATGCCGCTTCAATGTGTGGGGATTCATTGAGTAAGCGTCAGTAGTCTGGGTCTAATCGACCTAAATAAGGAATACCAGATACAAAAAGCTGAAAGAATCATGTCAAGAGAAGGATGAGAAACGGTTTTTTGTGTTTGGACACTGTTACAGTGTATTGTAACTACATATACCTCGATTCTATCTATTCTCTTTTCTTTGATATTTTCGTTTCTGTTATTTCGTTTCTATTGCTCTTCTTTGTCCTTGACTAACCTTTCTATTCTATTCTACTTTTGTCCTTATTTTTATGTTCGTATATAAACATTTGTTTTTTCAAACAATAAGCAGAAAGAAGAAAACACACATAAACGTTAACTGTGTTCGTCGCTCTTCGTGAGCGCGAACGCTAACATTTGGCGACCCTGGCGAAACAGGAACATTTAAATTAACGAAGAACAAATTTATTAAAATTCATCAAAATTATTTTCACATGTAGC